AATAGTTTGTGAGACCCTGTCTCACAAAACCCTTCACAAAAAAAAGGGCTGGTGGAGTGGCTCAAGGTGTAAGCCCTGAGTTCAAACCTCAGTACCGCAAAAAAAAAAAAAAAAAATCCCGAAAGAAGCCAGAGGGAAAAAGACCTTTCCTATTGAAGTTCAATAAGAACTCTATCTGACTTCTCAGAAACATGCAAAAAAAAAAAAAAAAGACAGTGGAGTAAAATAGAGCAAAAACCCCACCAACCTAGAATTCTGTACCCTGCAAAATTATTGTAGAAAAGTGGCCAGGTACAGTCATACACAACTATAATCCCAGCACTCAGGAAGTGGAGACAGAAGGGTCATGAGGTTGAGGCCAGCCTGGGCTACACAGCAAAGCCCTGTCTCAAAAGAAAAAAAGAAAAGAAGTAAAGAAAGGGATAGGAGCACAGCTCACTGGTAGAGCACTTGCTTGGCACATGTTTGAGGTGCTGGGTTCCATTCCCAGCACTGCAAAACAAAATAAAAGAGGGAGAAATAAAATATACTTTCTCACTCAAACAAAATTGAGGAAACTATTACCAGTAGTTTACCTTTCAAGAAATGTTAAAAAGTTCCCTAAAAAGAAGGAAAACAATATAGGTCAGTTGAGTATAGTGGCTCCTGTAATCCCAGATACTTTGGAGGCAGAAGGGAGGATCAAGATTTGAGGCTGGCTCAAGCAGAAAGTTATGAAGACCCTCATCTCAACAAACAAGCTGCGTGTGGTGGTCTATGTCTATGTAGAATCCCAGCTAAGGGCTGGTGGAGTAGCTCAAGTGGTAAGCACCTGCCTAGCAACGGTGAGGCCCTGAGTTCAAATCCCCAGTACCAAAAAAAAGAGAGAAAGAATCCCAGCTAAGCAGGAGGCATAGGAAGGAGGATCCCTTTCTAAAAGATAACTAAAGTAAAAAAGGGCTGGGTCGTGGCTCAAGTGGTAAATCATCCGCCCAGCATGACTGAGGCCTTCACTTGACCTGAGCACCACACTGTTTTTGTTATGAAGTCTTACTGTGTGGCCCAGGTTGTCCTTGAATTTGAAATCCTACTGCCTCAGGCTACTGAGTGCTGAGATTATAGGGATTACAGCTGTGTACCACCACATCCAGCTCTACATAATTTGTTTTTGTTTCTTTTTGGCAGTACTGGGGTTTGAACTCAGGGCCTTGCACTTGCTAGGCAGGCACTTTACCACTTGAGCCACGGGGCCAGCCCTTATTTTCTTTTTAAATTTATCTATGAAAAATTGTACATATTCATGGTATACATTATGACATTTTGTTTCTTATTTTAATTGATCGGATAATAGTTTATTCAAAATGATAATAGCAACAATGTATTTGATTATGTACACTTACCTACCTGTCATTTGTGACAGCAAAATGAATGATGGCAATGACGCAAGCAACGAGAGAGGATTTAGGGTTCTTTTGCCACTGTGAGGTACTCAGGCTACCCACAAACTGCTGTAGTTATTGAAAGTGCACTTGGTTAGTAGTAACTGTACATTATAGATGCTAGGACAGTTTTTGAAAAGAAAAGAAAGAGGACAGTTTCACACATCTATAATTCTAGCAATTCATGAGGCAGAGAATACGAGGATCAAAGTTCAAAGCCAGTCCTGGGCAAATAGTTTGTATAACCCTATCTGGAAAATATCCATCACAAAAAAGAGAGAGTAAAGAGTAAAGAAAGGAGAGGAAATAAAGTTATAAAAAATACTCAATTAAAACTGCAAAAGATGGAAAAGTCTGGAAGATAAGATAGGAACAAAGACGAGGGCAACAAATCAAAAACTGATAAATCTGGTAGATATTAATCCAACTATATAAAAATCACTCTGAATGTCCCCAGACTAATGCATCAATTAAAGGAGAGATTATCAGGGTGGATAAAAACAAGACTCAACCATGTGTTACCTGTAACAGATCACTTTAATAAGGCACCTGCCTCATAAGTGTGAAGCCCTGCCCCAGCAAAAAGAAGTAAAAAAGGAAAGTAATCACTTTAAGTATAAAAATATATATAGATTAAAGTCAGTGAAAGCAAACTTACCAAAAAGTATGGGATGCAGTAACAGGAAGGCTTAGAGTGAGATTTTGAGCATTGAATGAATATTTTGGAAAGAAAGATCTAAAATCAATAATCTAAATTTCTAATTTAGGAAACTAGAAAAAGGAGCAAATCAAGTCAAAGGAGACAGAAAAAAGATCACAGAATCGAAGCAATGGCTGCAGAAAAGACATTTGACAAAACCCAACATTTGTTCATGACAAAAACTCTCAATAAACTCTGAGTAGAAGGTAACTTCATCAATTTGATAAAGGTAAACAGCCAGAATTACAGCTAACACACACAATGGTGGGGAAGAAGAGCCTCCCTCACTAAGGTCAGGTCAGAAACATGCAAGGAGCTCCTCTCTGTCACTGCTTTACAACAGCACACAGGAGCTCACATTTAATAGAAGACCAAAAAAGGAAAATAAATGGGGAACAGATTAGGAGGGAAAAAAAATCAAACTTCCTATTGCCAGGTGCCAATGGCTCAGCCTGTAATCTTGGCTGCTCCGGAGGCAGAGATCAGGAGGATCATGGTTCAAAGCCATCCTTGGCAAATAGTTCTGCAGACCCTATCTCAAAAAAAAAACCAATGCAAAAAAAAGGGCTGGGGGAGTGGCTCAAGTGGTAAGAGTGCCTGCCTCTTTAGTAAGCATGAGGCCCTGAGTTCAAACCACCAAAAACAAAACAAAAAAAACTGCTTGCAAAAAATATGATTTTCTATGTAGAAAATCCAAATGAACACACACACACACACACACACACACACAAACTCAACAGTCGTGTGTTTATTATAGGTTACAGGACACGAGGTTAATAATATATAAAATTCAACCACTTCCCTATGACCAGCAACAAGTGGAATCTGAAATGAAAAACACACTATCATTTACATTAGCACCCAGAAAATAACTTGGACATAAATCTAACAAAATACATACAAGATCTATATGAAGGAAGTTACCAAACCGATGAGAAAAATCAAAGAACTAAATAAATGGACAGATGTTCCATGTTCATGGATAGGGACGGTGGTTTGATCTGTAATGTCCCCCAAAAGCTCCTGTGTTGACGGCTCGGCCTGGACGCAGCAGTGGTCAGAGGTGGGGCCTTTTGGAGGAAATTGGATCACGAGGTCTCTGCCCTCATCAATGGATTAATCCATTTATTGATTCACAGACTGACGGGCTATGGGGAGATGGTGGAAACTTTTAGAGGCAGAGCCTAGTAGGTCACTGGGGATGTGCCCTTAGGGTTGTATTTTATCCCTGGCCCCTTGCTTTCTTTCCCTCCACTTCCTGGCCTTCATGAGGTGAGCAGCTCTGCTGCACCAGGTGCTCCCACCATGATGTACTGCCTCACAACAGGCCCAAAAGCAACAGAGCCAGCATACCATGGACGGAAACCATGAGCCAAAATAAAACGGTCCCCCTTCAAGTTGATTTTCTCAAGCATTTTGTCACAGCAGCAGAAAGGTGACTAACAGAGCCAGGAAGACTCAATGTTGTGAAGATGTCTGTCCTTTCCACTTGGATCTATGGATTTAACACAATTCCAATCAGAATCAGTTTGCAGAGATCAACAAACAGATTTTAAAGTTAATATGGAGAGGCAAAAGATACAGGCCCAGGACATCCATTACCATATTGAGAATGAAGGACAAAGTTGAGGATAGACCCTACCTCAACTCAAGATATAAAGCTATAGTAATCAACACCATGTGCTATTGGCAAAAGAATAGACAAGAGCCAGGAGTGGTGGGTATGCCTGTAATCCCAACCCTTGGGGACTGAGGGAGGAGGATTGTGAGTTCAAGGTTAGACCCTGTCTCCAAAAAGAAAATAAGGAAAAAAAATAATAAAGTACAGAAATACATGCACATAAATATAGTCAATCGGTGTTTGACAAAGCAAGAAACAACCATGCAATGGAGCAAGAGTCATTTCAGCAAGTTGTGCTGGAACAACTGGACATCCCCACACAAAAAACTGATGCTGGACACAAGCCTTGTACCTTTCCTAAAAATGAACTTGAAATGGATTGTAGAGCAACACATAAAATGTAAAATTACAAAGACAGCATAGGATAAAACCAAGTGACCTTGGGTGTGGTGGTGACTTTTTAAATACAACAGTAAAGGCACAGTCCATGAAAGATAGACCTAATAAGTGGATGCCTTGAAAATTTAAAACTTTTATTCTGCAAAAGTCAGGGTTAAGAGGATGTTTGCCACATCCAGGAGAAAATGTTTGCCAAAGACACATCTGATAAAGGACCGTTGTCCAAAATATACAAAGAACACTTGCAACATGACAGAAAGAAAGCAAACAAGTCTACTAAAAATAGGTAACACACTAAACAAACACCTCCCCAAGAGGATAGAAAATAATGCTATTCGAGCAAGGTATGGTGATACACACCTCTAATACCAGATGAGTCAGGGGGATTGCCAGTTTGAGGTCAGCCTGGGCTATGTTGCAAGACCTTATCGCTGAATTAATCAACTGATTAAAACAAAATTCTAAAGGAAGGTTAATGCCAAAGTTTTTTGTTTTTTTTTCATGGTACTGGGATTTGAACCCAGGGTATCCACACTTGTTAAGCAGGTGATCTACCACATGAACCATCCCTCCACCCCCTTTGCTCTGGTTATTTTGGGATAGGATCTCACTTTTTTTTTGTCCAGGC